TTTTTCGGACCATAAGACGCACTTTTGGGGGGGGAAAAGTCCCTGCGTCTTATGGTCCAAATATAGCCTACACATATACTTTAAAAAAAAAGTTTTTTTACTTGCCCGGCTCTGTGTGGTCTCTGTGTGCTTGCCCGGCTCTAAAATGGTTCTAAATGCTGCTGTTTACTTTACAGGGTTGATTACATGTGTTTATGACTGTGATGTTGGGTTTTAATGCACATAAAATATTTTAGGACACTATTTGTTTCAGAATCTTTATTTCTTCATTTCCCTTCTCTAAAAACTGGTGCGTCTTATGGTCCGGAGCGTCTTATGGTCCGAAAAATTCGGTATTTGTTTAGATTCCTTCCCAAAGAAGCTCGGTCACTGTGCTGGAGATGTAATGTAATTATAGCCACGTTTTGTGACCTTTACATAATGTGGTGAGTCATCTCCTGTGACTTAAAGTACTTCCTCATTACCCTCACACCGCACCCAGACAAAGATGGGGCTGCAAGGGAGCCAGGGTGGCCGCGTGACTGCCCTGCGGTCCCAGAACCCCAGTGCTGTAGGCAGGACCGACTGCCCTGAACTAAGTCTGCATTTATTAGATGGAAGCATTGCAATTTGTGGTCCCCTCATTTTCAGAAATTGGATCTAGAATTTCTTACTTTCTAATCTGTCCCATAAATATAAAAGCTCCTGACAAAGACCCAGGTTAGCCCGGGCTGTCTATCATAATCTTCATCTGGCTTCAGACACAACAGTTTTCAGAGCCCATATTCAGAACCCTAAAAATAGCCTTTTTTTTTTTTTTTTTTTTTTTTTTTTTTATCAGGATGGCATCTGTCCTGGTCATAGGCCTTAGACGTAGCCGGCCCCATCTATCTGCGTTCTCATGCAGCCTTCCCTAAAAAAGAAGAGCTGGTGTGAATAATTAAAACCCCGTTCCTGCTCCCTTTGCAGGTTTCTGATCATCACTGAAGCACCAGCCAGGGTTTGCACATCCTTCTTGAGAAAGTGACTGGGAGGGGCTGCAGATTGCCCGGAGGACGGGCCTGGCAGGACAGAGGCGAGCCTGAGTGAACCGGACCCCTTCTCTGGGGGGTCCTTGGGAACTTTTTTTTTTTTTTTTTTTTACAATGTAGAAAGAATTTATTTGCCTCATTAAAAAAAAATCTCAATAGTGCATTTAAGTATAAATTCGATCTTCTCATGGAGGAGTTGCAAAGTTTAAATAGAAACATTCGATTGCTTCAGGTTTACATTTTTAAAACTCTTAAATTTACTGAGGGAACATATAAAAAAGCCAGACTTAAGATATTTTAAGGCATAAGCATTATCATTAATAGCTCTACTATTCTGCTCCCAGTGCCGGCTCTGCAGGAGAGGACAGTTCCAACTTAAAGCCAAAGTGAAAGTTACAAACTAAATCCAGCATCAACTACTGACAGAGCTGAAGTACTGGAGGGTGGACAAGTTGTGAGTCATTCTCTTACACAACTTCACTCCCAGAGTAAAAGAGCAAACCCAAAGGCTTTCCCCTATTTAAAAACATTCCATCCACCCCTCCTGGGACCCTCCCCTGATCCCGGACACAGTGGCACTAATGGTCCCAGTGTGGTGGGCTCCCAGGCGGTCCCTGTACCCAGAAAACAAAGGGGATCCCCAGCCACTGTTCTCTGAGCGCTGAGCGTCACCAGCACTACCTTGGGAACTTCTGCTGCTAGGCCTCTCCCCCTGGTCCAAGTTGGACACACCTCAACATATGCCTCATCTTTCATCTTTCCCTGGGGGAACACTTTTTTAAAAAAAATCCTCACCCAAAGATATGATATACTTATTGATTTGAGAGAGAGAGAGAGAGAGAGAGAGAGAGAGAGAGAGAACATTGATTGGTTGCCTTCTGTATGTGTCCCCAGTGAGGATCAAACCTGAAACCTAGGCATTACCCTGACCAGGAATCAAACTTACAACCTTATGGTGCATGGGGTGATGGCCACTTTGGATAGATCTCACAGAGCTAGACTCACGGCACTTCTCCTCTGGAGTTCCCTCCAGCCTTTAGCTGATTGAAGATTTTAAAAGAAAGTTAAGACACACGTTGAAGAAAAATGCAAGGAGACCAGGAAGGAACCCCCGGGAAGCACAGAGTACCTTTAAGCTGCCCTAACCACACCACTTGCCTCTACATGGGAGCCTGGGTTTTGGAAGGCCTGCCTGTGCTAACCCAAGGAAGGTCTTCCGACCACCTTCCTGCTTTAAACAATAAAGTGATCGATAATCCAGGGTCTGGTGGGCCAGGCCATGGATTCCTCAGGGTCCCCTGCTTCACCCGTGTCCTGACCTTGGGCCTGTTCTGTCTTTGGGCCTCTCAGAGGAGGGAAAGGGAGGAGGACTCAGGGCTTGGAGTTTCCTGTGTGTTAGCATTGTCCCCTCCCTGCTGGCCTGGGGCTGTGTGCCTGTGTGTGCACTCATGTATGCCTTCACGGCTTTTCCTGACCTCACTCGCGAGCTGGTGCCACTCTGAGATGTTTGCTAGTGATGTTGGGCCAGGGAATCTTCAGCTCTGTGTGAGATGGAAGTGGATGCAGGCAGTGGTGAAGTGGCTCTGAGAAGAAGGAGGGTACCCCCCGTCCAGCAGCCCCTGCCAAGGCCTTAGTTGCTGACCCTGAGGCTGTGAGGTGCACACCAGTCTGTAGGCAAGCCCGAGGCCCTGGCCTTCCTTAAGTCTTATGCTTCCCTGCGCAGCCCTGGGCGCAGGCGTGGGCCCCCAACACAGGCCTTAGACCGCCTGCCTGTCAGGCCATGACTGGAGACTCCTGTTTTCATACTGGCTCAGCCTAGATGGTGGACAGGCCCTGCAAACAGGTCATGTAAGAAGGGAGTGAAGAAGGGGAGGCCGTGGTCATGGCACAGAGAGCAGTGCGCTGTCAGTGACGGAGCCTCAGGCTTGCCAGGGGAGGGGCTCTTGCACGAGTGTGTGGGCACGGAGAGGTCGGGTAGAGAGGGCACAACCTTCAGGTTCTTCCCGTTAACTCCTTCCAGGCTCAGCCTGACTCCTCGTGGAGGCTTGGATTGGCGCTGGCCCTGCCCTTCCTGGCTGATGTTCAGTATTCTCTCCTGCCCACACTGGCCTTGGCCTTAAGAGGAGAATAGGCGGGGGGGGGGGGGGGGGGGGGGGCTGTCCTAGCAGCAGGTGCACAGGAGTTAGAGGATTGGCGGATCCTGAACTGGCCTCTGGCTTCTGCTCCCTGCAGTCTGCCCTGGCCTCTCTCTGGACATTCTGAGTCAGGTGAGGAGAGCAGCTTCCTCGGAGAAAGCATGTCAGGGAGCCTGGCTGCCCACACCACCACCTGGGAAATGCTCTTGCCCACGCAGTCCAATCTGAGTCCGATTAGGCTTCTGGACTCAAGTACCAGGAGGATGCATTAAATGGTGTCAGGAAAAGCCAGACTGGGAGAAACCACAGCACACGTGACCTGGTTCCTTCAACAAGTAAACCACAAGGGAGAAAGAGATTGATTGATGGGGAGACCTAGGAGACAGGTGGACCAATTTTAATACGTGGGCTAATTTAGATTCTAATTCAAACAAACTTTTTTTTTTTTTTTTTTTTTAAAGAACAGTTCATGGGTCAATTGGGGAAATTTGAAACTGATTATTTCCGATATGAAGGAAGAAGTGTTAATTTATTTTCTTGTTCTTTTAAAGAATAGTTTGCTGATTTTTAGAGAGAGAGGAAGGAAGAGGGAGAGAGAGAAACATTGCTGTGAGAGCACAACACTGATTGGCAGCCTCCGGCATGCGCCTACGGGGGTGAAGGGGAACGGGATCAGGCATGCACCTTGATCTGGAATCAAACCGGCCACCGATTGTTCCATAGACTACGCCCAACCAGCTGAACCACACCGGCAGGGCGCTGTTAATTGTTTTAGGTGTGATCATAGTATTGTCATTATGTTTTCTAAGAAAAGGCCGTAAGTTTTTTAAGTACACCCTGAAATATTTGCAGATGACCAGATGCCTGGGGTGTCAGGGTAGGGGGGTGCCAGGTACGGGTGAAACAGGACTGGCTCTGAGTGAGTGTTGCTGAATCTGAGTGGTGGGGCATGGAGTTTCACTATGACATTCTTTTCAGTTTTACATAGCTTTGAAAACCACCATGATCCAATCTGGAAGGAGAGGAGGGAGAGACAAAGAGGAGGCAGAGGAGGACGGGGAGCAGGAGGAGGAGAAGAGTGGGGAGGAGGAGGAGGAGGAGGAAGAGAAGGATGGGGAGGAGGAGGAAGAGAAGGATGGGGAGGAGGAGGAGAAGGATAGGGAGGAGGAGGAAGAGAAGGATGGGGAGGAGGAAGAGAAGGATGGGGAGGAGGAAGAGAAGGATGGGGAGGAGGAGGAAGAGAAGGATGGGGAGGAGGAGGAGAAGGATGAGGAGGAGGAAGAGAAGGATGGGGAGGAGGAGGAAGAGAAGGATGGGGAGGAGGAGGAAGAGAAGGATGGGGAGGAGGAGGAAGAGAAGGATGGGGAGGAGGAGGAAGAGAAGGATGGGGAGGAGGAGGAAGAGAAGGATGGGGAGGAGGAAGAGAAGGATGGGGAGGAGGAGGAAGAGAAGGATGGGGAGGAGGAGGAAGAGAAGGATGGGGAGGAGGAAGAGAAGGATGGGGAGGAGGAAGAGAAGGATGGGGAGGAGGAGGAGGAGAAGGGAAGGAGGGGGAGGATGGGGAGGAGGAGAAAGAGAGGAGAAAGAGGAGGAGAAGGGGAAGGGGAGATGAGATGGAGGAGGAGGAACAGCAGCTGTGCGGGGATGGAGGCTGCCCTTCTCCTGAAGGCCCCAGAGACAAGGCAAACAGCCACCCCAAGGGCAGCGCAGCCTCCAGCTTCCCGAGGCCTCTGGTTCCAGTCTGGGCCATTCTCCTTGCTGGGGTTCTTCCTGAGGCCCCCCACAGGTTTCCCTCCTCCCAGCCACAGCGCTGGAGGGTGGGGGTGGGGGGAGGGGAGAGGTAAGCCGCACTCACCGTGGAGAGGCAGCCTCTGTCCTCCCGGATGATGGCACCGAAGCCCAGGAAGCCGGTCACCATGACGAGGGCGCCTGCGAAGATGAGGATGTAGGCAGAGGCGGCGAAGGTGCTGGAGGCCAGGACGCTGAGGTAGCCGCTCTTCTCCACCAGCGTCCAGACACCCACGGCCAGGACGGTGGCGCCCCCCACCTGCAGGAGGCCCTGGTCAGAGCGGTGGCCGGTTGTTGGGCGCCTCTGCTGCCCTTCAGCGGGCCACGCTTCACCTCATTTAGTCCTTCAAAGAGCCTGGGAAGGCAGTTGGGGCCCAGTTTATAGGTGAGGAAATGGAGGCGTGGAGAGGCTGGGGACCTGGCCACACACCTGAGTGGCAGGGGCAAATTTTGAATCTGGGTGTGACTCCCCACTCTGTGCTTCTCACTGCATTGCCCATGAGTCTGTCCCCTGAGGGAGGGAGACAACCTCTGTGTCTGAGCCCCTTGCCTCCCCAGGCCCAGCTACCTTGTGCCCCTCCTATCCCCAGGGCTCCTGCACTGTAGTCCACATTCATCCCTATAATTTGCCCCCAGAGGGAACACGGGGAGTGGGGTCGGGGAGGGGGGCTTTCCACCTCTGCACTTCAGGGGAGAAAGGAGGCTTCCAGGGAAAGTGAACTGCTGGAGGGCCTGCTTCTGGTGAGGAGGGGCAATTGGAGAGAGGCTGGGACAGGACTCAGGATGTAGCCTCCGGGATTAAAGGGACAGGCTCCCCACAGCTGGAGTCTCTCTGGGACTCGGAGGACTGAGCAGGAGATGTTCCTTCTTGCTAACTGTCTGACTCCCTTTCAGCCCTGAGAAGGGGGCAGGGACAGGACACCACTGCCTGGCCGGTCAGGGGTGCCTCCTCAGGAAGGGTCCCTGGTACAGAGCTGGGTGCCTCCTTTAGGGATCAGATCTCTCCCTGGAATGGATGAAGACTGCACGGCATTCCCATCAGCCCTGGGACTCTGCCTGACCCCCTGCCTGTCAGCTACAGGAACAGCTCTGTTCTCAGGAGGCACAGGCATCAGCTGAGCCAACCGAAGGGCGCCCTTAGCCATGAGTGTGCAGAGGCGCCTACATCACTCAGCTCACCACATGATCAACTGAGCCCTGCAATGGGTCTGTGAGGATGGGGCGGTGTGTGTGTGTGTGTGTGTGAAGGGGGGGGGGGGGGAGAGACACATTTTTTGCAGAGGAAGAGCTTGAGGCTTGGAGAGAATAAGAACATGCTCCAGACGGCAACATCAGGAAGATGCAGAACCAAGATTCAAAGCCCGGTCTTCTGAGGGCAGATCCAGGACTTTGTCCATGGTCCCACGGATTGGGCTGTGCCTGCTCTGGTACTAATTTGATTTTTTAAATAATCAGTGTTTTATAAAGTGCCATTTCATCCTCCTTAGCACCTCCTGCAGGTAAGAAAACCAGGCGGGAGAGCCCACAGCTGTGCGTCTCTGAATGGAGCGGGAGAGGCTCACATGATGAGACACTTCAGTTCCGTTTTTCTCACGCTTTTATATATCTAAAACAGACACGCATTTTGGGACTAATGGCATCTTACAGTTATACCTGGCAGTACTTTTTCTGAGTGGGACAGAAAGCAGTGATGTATCTCTCAGCTTTGATGAAATCCTGGGCTACCACAGGTCTGTAAATTCTCGGTGAGTGTACGCTGTCTCTGGCCCACACAACCCCATGACCAGTGAGGAGTTTCCCCAGTCCGCTCTGTGGAATTGTGTTAAGTGAGAGTTTCCAGCAAAATGTCCTGCACATGTTCTTTCTGCTCCCACAGCATCCCGAGGGAAAGGGCCCTAACTTTGCATAACGAGCTGCGTGACCTCTGTAAACATTGTCCCATAACCTCTCAGGGCCTAAGCTTCTTCATCTCTCAAATAAGGGTATGATATTAGACCAGTAAGGTCCCAACCTATAATCACCAAGGATCCCTTTGATTGCTTTATTCCATGGATCTTACATTTTGAAGGTTTTTGCCTACCAAACCCAGTGCATTAATAATTCATTTCTCATTTTTTATTAATCAAAGGCACATGACGGTGCCAGGAAGAGGTTCTGAGCAGCGTGGAACAGTCCACGTGACTGCACCGAGTTGATCTACATTGTAATTGCTGTAGGCTCTTTATGGAAGTCTGCACACTCTCCATTACGCATTAGGCTTGTCAGCCCGCAGCTGAACATTGGGCCTGGTACCTCCTTCGAGGTCACATTGGACTGGACTGGGGGCACTTAATCGGTTGGGAGACATGGAGCCCACTGAGAACATGATAAAAAACCTTTGGATACTTTGCCCAGAGAAATGGCCATTCATTTAAAATAATGCATTCAGATTTGGGGGCTGAAGCCAGTCTGTACCATGCAGTGAGGCCTCCTGCACTCTAAGGCAGTGATTCTCGGCCTGGCCACACAGTCACCTGTTTGCTCTGCAAAAGCCAGCCACACCCCAGCCAGGTGAGGTCTCTGGGAGCAGGACATGAACATTTTATTCAGTTTCCAGGTGGTCCCAGCCGAGAACCACTCCGTGTAGATGTCAGATTAAATGGAGGGTCACAGTGCCCTTCCTCTCTCCCCCAGTAGGTGGTGCTGTGCTGAATCTCACAGACGACAGGCTTCCAGGAAGCTCTGGGCCCCTTAGCCTGGGGGAAGGTGTTGGGAGAGCTTCTGACATTCCTCCAGGATGTGAACTCCATCCTGTTCTGGCTGTGTTAGGGCGTTTGCTTTGGTAGGAGCTTTGGTTAGAAGGTGAGGTAACGAGGAGCAGAATTTTCAGTCCAAGGGGATAAAAACCAAATCATGCAAGAAAGGAAAAAAAAAAAAATCCGTGGATCCCCAGGAAGGAGTGGGACTCTGAGAAATGCAGCCCCAGGAGAAGAGCAGTGCTGATGGAACCACGGAGGGCTGTTCTCTCCCAGGCTTGCCAGTCACAGAGAGGCTGCAGTCCACCAACGAGCAGAGCCTGCAGGTCAGCCAGGGTGGCAGCAGGGTCAGACAGAGTGAGTCATCGGGGATCCCTCCCCTCTGCTGGGGTGTCACACCTGGTGAAGAAGTTAGTGTCTGCAGGGGACACCAAATGGTATTTGCCAGCAGGAGCAAGAGGAGTTCAAGTCCAGGGGTTTCCTGCCTGGGATTCAGTGAGCTCTTTAGAAAAAAGCCTTTCCTCTGGACAGGAAAAGTAAAAGTTGGTAACTGTTGGAATGGGTCACCAGAAGGTCTTGGGAGGGTAGATGTCAGCATGCCTGGGTGCCGCCCTGGCTGTGCCCCTTATTACCCACGTGACTGTATGCCAGACGCTTCTCCTCTCTAAACCTCAGTTTCTTAATCTGTAAAATGGTGGTGCTGGATGAGATGACTGCGAGGTCCCTGCCATGGACATAAATGTCCCTATTACTTATGGGGGAACAAACTTCTGCCAATACACCCCAGCAAGATGCTTCTGGACCAGGGGCTCACCGCTTTCACCCACTGTGCGGAGAGGTCCCCGTTAGCAGAACGAGCAGTGGGGTGGGTTTGGGGGGGTGGGAGATGGGGCTGAGATGAGGACAGAGTGAGTGGGGAGAGACCTGACCCCAAAGAGCTATTTCAACAGCTATTTGCATAGAGTTGATTCAACAGTATCAGACTCTACAGAAACTGGGTTGATTTTCTGTGGAATATTAACTATATTTTCAAAACCAGAGCCCACAGCCAATTAGCTAGGACACCCTGCAGAGGGTGAGGATGGCCTTCTTACCAAAGAGGACACAGGCAGGCCAGGGAGGCAGGGCAGGTCACCCATGCCATGTAATTTTAGGAACCTCCATTTATAGAAAAGGAACAGTGCCAAAAAGTTGCTCATGTGATATGGGAGAAGGATGAGCCAAGGTGCTGATGGACATCAGGCAGCAGACAGGAGAAAAGCAGGAGGAGAGAGTAGAGTAACTGCAGGACTTTTCTTTGTCAGGATCCCGAAAGGTTTCTGTGCTGGGACGGCGAAAGGACTGGTGGGCGGTGCAGGGGTCAGGAGCCCCTGGGAGCAGAGTTCTCTGCCTCTCTGTGAGGGGAGGCAGGGGGGGCCGTGCAGCTCACTCATGGAAGTGTCTGCTGGGCACCTTCTTGGTGCAAGCACCACACCGGACTGGCAAGGGTTCTGGGCAGGATGTGCTCACCATTGACAAGCACACATGTCATCTCGCTCCTCCTCCCCTGGGCAGTCACATTCACAGTATCACCGCTCACCCAGACCAGAGTCCCTGGGCCCTATGGACTTCCTCCTCTGCAGGGATGGTTGGGTGCTAATCATACCCCCTCTGAGCCCCGTCATGTCCTGCACTGCCCGGCTTTGCATGCGCTCATCCCTACCCCCACCTTACATCTGCCTCCTGGCCTCTGCTCAAACCAGGGCCAGCTTGTTGTGCTGAACCAGCAGGCATTCTGGTGACAAAGTGCCTGAGGTCCCAGACTAGGAGCACTAAGTCCAATGCCCCGGATGGCCTTGAGGCCCTTAGATCCAGCCTTAGCCTGACTTTTGGCTCCGTCTTCTGCTACTTCCCTTCCTCTTCACCTGGGCTTTGGTTACCATGAACTGAGTATTTCTTTCCCAGAAGCACTGCAGGTGCCCACTAACCATGATAGTAGAGGAGAGTGGTGAAGAGGCCAACCACCAGTGCCCGAGTCCCAGTTCCCCTATGGGCTGTGTGAATCTAGCCCTGAGGTGTATGCCGAGCCCTCCACTGGCAGGGTGGGGGGAGGGTGGGGGACACACTCCAACCACCCCAACTTCCTTCCCTGGGACCATGGGTGCTGTGTTAGGGACGGCTCTCCACCTTATTAATGAGCAACACCTGCTGGCACCTGGCGAGCATTTCTCCTAGCTGCCCCTGTGTTCCCGTGGCCTTGGCACCAGCTCTGTTTGCGCTGAATCTTCAAGGATAAGCTTTCTCACAAGGCATTTTTTTCTTGGTTCTTTGACTTTAAAGAGCCCCTGATAAAATAAACGAGTACTATGTTCTCCTCTCCCACAACCGTCTACTTTTATAATAAGAGTAGGTCTCTTGGGACTTGCTGAGCTGGGAAATAGTTCAAGATTGCCTGTTCCTCTTTTAAACCCCGTTCTGAACCTGCCTTGTGCCGTTGCTGGCCCCACTCCCAGTGAGGAAATCATTCTGTCCTCCCTACCAGCTCTGTGCCTGGGGCAGGTTTCTATGGTTACACTCATCACGGCATATTTGCTGTATTTGTCTCTCCTTTTAGCCTCTCAGTTAAGTCTCATTCATTTAGCACTCCCAGCAGAGTGCTACATGTGGTAGATAGAGGCCCAGTAACTCCCTATGGGAGGAGGAAGGAAGGAGGGAAGAACAGAGGAAAAGAATCCCGTCTAACCCCTTTTATATTCTGGATGAAGAAACCAAGGCCCAGAGAGAGGGCAACTGCTCCAAGCTGCCATTACTAGCCAGAGGAAGAGAGGGGACTGGAATTCAGAACCCTAATGTCCAATTTAGTGCCTGCTTTACCCACTGGGCTGCTGGCCCACACAGAGCTCCTCTGCATGAAGCTAGCCTGCTGGTGTCTGGGCCAAGTGTGGCCCGGAGTCCCTGAGAACAGCAGGGCAGCTCAGAGCTGTCCCCACAGGCTTCACCCTTGACTGGCCTCTTCTGCAGTGGCCTGTGTGGACCAAATGTGCATCCTCCTGCACTATGGGCCAGTCCCCCAGCAGCCTGACAGCCCAGAGGCAGAGATGCCCCAAACACCTTGGGGGCCTTGTGACTTCAGCACCTTAGGAAGGAGCATAACAGATACACCAAGCCCGGGTCCTAACCTAGTCTTTCTCTGATGACATGGATGGGAGGCAGGCAGGGCCCTGCTCCATGGGAGCAGGCTGGACCAAGGTCTATGTAGCCTCCATAGGAAGTGGGCAGAGGCTCTTTCCTACCACTGGCCTCTGGGGACCTGGGGGATGTGTGGATGTTCTTCAGCCCCCTCAGACCCCTGGCCAGGAATGAGTCCCCCAGCACCTCTGCTTCCTGTCCTGACCCATGTCCCCCTTAAGGGACCCCACAGGTTTCCTGCAGGCAGAGCAGGACTTCAGAGCGGGACTTCAGAGCAGAGGAGCTGCTCCAGGCCAGGGAGCCGCCGCTTCCCGGCTCTCTCACGCCTGGCACAGCTCCTGGGAGGTTGGAAAAGTTTTGATTGTTAACACAGCCAAGCAGCTAATTAAAACAATAAATTAGAGAACAACATTGCAGGGAGCTGTGCAGAGCTGAGTAGGAAATGGGAGGGGAAAGAAAAGTCACGTAGGGAAGCCTGGGTCACATTTCTGTCTAGGGCCATGAAGGAGGCACGGGGATGGCATTTTTGGTTTCTGATGCGGAGCTGTAGCCAAGGAGCCTCCCCTGCTCAGTGAAATAACCATGATCAACACTGGGTTCATCGCAATGCCAGGCAGTGGGGTGGGAGTCAGGGGTAGGGGATGGTGTAGGGTGGGGTCCCAAGCATGTGTTGAATGTTGGAGGTAGGGGTCCAGAGGTGGGGTGGAGCTTAGGTACAGGAAATGGGTGTCTACTGTGACGCTGCTTAAGTCTTGTTTATATTATTTATACTCTGCATGACTGACTGTCCCTAACGTCCTTGATTGCTCTATCAACCTTGAACTTTGGGGACACTTTTGGATTCCATGCAAGCATCAGAGCAGTGGGCCTATGGCTGTGATTAAGGGCCTGTGGTCTATGGAAATGGGAAGAGCACTGGACTTTGAGTCAAAAACCCAGAATTGACATAGAACTTTGCCAATCATCCGAGCCTCAGTTTTATAATCTACAAAATGGGAATGAAGATAGTGATAGAGTGGTTGTGAGAGCAATTCAGTTGTGCAAAATTATTTGTAACCTTCAAATTATGCTACGACGGCAGCTGGTGGAGGCTTGGCACTGAGTCGTGCCTCATCCCGGTGGAGGTGATGACTGTTCCCATCATCCCACTGCTCTGCGTTTCTCAAACTTTGGAATGTTAAACCCTGTTTTCCCCCAAAAGACAGTGCAGGGAAGTGTAGGAATTAGAGCTAAAGACAACAGAGCCTGGCAGCCAAGCACACAGGCCTTGGGGGTGAGGGCTGAGGAGTAACTGGTGGATTGTAACCTGCCTTAAAAACAACCCCCCTAGAACAAAACAAGCACCACAAAATAGAAAATATCAGAGGGCATCGCATACAGTAAGGGTAAGGTTAGTTTCATGAGCATATAAACATTTCTTTTGCTTCTATTATCTTTTACATAAGTCACGCTCCTTAATCTAACCATAACAATTGCACATAATACTTAAGCACCAAGTATGTACCAGAAATTGCTAATTGTTTTACTAAATATTAATCTTAGATTCTTACAGGTATTGACATTCCCATTAAATATATGAAAAATGTGAGGCTCAATGAGATTAAGTGATTTGCCAAATGTTTTATAGTTTACCAGATTGCCATAATAAAACACCATAACTGGGTGGCTTAAGCAAGTAATTTATTGTATTTCTAATACTCAATGTTCAGACAGAGCTGGGGTCCAGCTCTGGGACTTTGGGCAAAGTGCTTTCCACTCCGTAGAATGAGGCTCTACTGGAGATGTTCACTGCATCGAGGTGCTTTTAGGATTAAACAGGAAGATGCAGGTAGAAAGACAAGCACAGAGGAAGCCTACAACAGCGAGCTCCGTGAAAGCTGGCTCTCTCGACTGATGTATTGCCAGTGCCTAGAACAGTGCTGGCACTTAGTATGTGCTTAGTACACATTGCAGAATAGATTTTTAAATTGTCATTATTAGTGACCAGAACACCTGGTTATCAGTGCTAGCTCTGCTCATCACCACTATGGTACCCAGAGTAAGTTTTGAACTGCGTGAGCCTGCTCCTTGCCTGTGAAATGAGTATAGTAGTGACCCCGACTGTCAAGGTTGATGTGAGCATCACATGAGACAGCTCGGGAAGTCTTTATGTAGCAGAGCCTCACAAATGCTGAGCATCAACCACCGAAGGAAGCCCAGAGCTTCCTAGCCTCTCAGGGCTGGATTTTCATAGAACAGGCAAGGTGCTATTCGGCAGGTGAACACTGTTCCGGGGGAGAAAGGAAGTTGGAGGTTCACCCCTATCATAGGAGCCAGGAGAGCGGCCTCTGCTGTCAGACTCCCTTATGCATCTGTGCAGAGGCGGTGGTGGGCAGGGTGCTGGTGAACAGTGGAGGGGCACTATCTGTGACCTCCCTGTTGAGGTGTATGACAAAAGAAGAAGGCGGCAGGGTGGGAAGCGCATGGGGCTAGGGCAGCACATACCAATGTAGAAGCTAGCATTGCTATGTCTTAGAGGGGCTCAGTGGGGAAGACCAGCAGCTGGACTGTGGGAGGGAGCCTTCTCCTATGGGAGAGATGCAGGGTCCTCATGGACAAGGCCCTTCCTGGGGAATCCTTGTAAAGCCCCAGGGGCTTTGCGTGCTGCAGAATGTGGTGTCATTGTGGGAGAGATGGGCCAGCAGTCTGCCCATATCTGCTTCTGAGAAGACCACAGCAGGTCCAGGGCACAGATGCCAGGAACCCACGACAGGAGACAGGCCTGGACGTCCAAAAACCGACCATCCCTCAGAAGGAAGATGAAACTTGGCTGAGTGAGTCCCTGGGAAGCTGGTCCACGTCCACCCAGGACCCAGGCAGGGGTATTTTTGACTCGAAGCAGGGAGAGCTGTGTGGGAGAAGCTGCCCAGGAAACATGCCTGCGACCCATCTGCTTGCGCTCCACCCACACGCCCTTCTTCTCACCAGTCCCAAAGGAGTGCAAACACCAACAGGCAGACTCTGAGTCCCTCTGGCTGGAAGGGACCCTGAGGATGGTCACTGCGTTTACTGCCTGTTCCCACCTACAGGAACCTAGCACAGGCAGGAAGGGCAAAGTCAGTGCCCTTCTACAGATATTTTGGTTGAGCACCTCACAACGGCCTTGAGACCCTTAAATTATAGTCCTCCCTTCTCCTCGTGTCCAGTGGTGTTGTCTACACTGAGGGTCCACCTCTTCGGCCTCTGCCTGAGAGTGTCCTCACCACTCTCCTGAGAGTGCTCTCATCACAGCCACCAATGAACTCTGTTTGGCCAAACCCATTAGCTACCTTATAGGTCTTAAAACGCTTGATGTGTCCCTTGCTTTTAACACACTTGACCCCTCCCTGATCTCCAGCTTCTATGACGCCCTTTCTCCTAGTTTTATTTTCACTGCTCGGACTGCTCCTCCTCCAGCTCCTCTAGTTCTGGCTTGCATGGGCTCCCCTGGTTTTAGCGCCGGAAGTCCTACAGCTGGGAGCCCCTCAGTTCAGGGCAAATGGAGATCATTGCCAATCCTAGACTCACTCTGCTGAGTTGGAATACTCCATGTCTCATTCTTACCACTGTTGTCTTCTCAGAATCCATGCTCTCCCAGGGGCTGCTCATTTATTTCCATGGCTGCAACCACTGACTGGGTGGGGATGACCCCCATCTGAGATCCAAAGTCATGAGCTAACTGCCCAATGAGCATCTCCGCTCAGATGTCTCCTGGAAACTCAAACTCACCAAGCCTACATCTGATCTGCCATTTGGTCGCCATTGCAAGGAAGAGCTCCACTATCAACCCAAGAGCTATAAACATCTATAATATAACCCATTAGAAAATGGGTTATATTATAGATGTTTATAGCTCTCTCCTCTTAATCCCACCCAATTAATGACCTAATCTTGTCATTGTCCCTTGACTCTCTTCAGTTCTTTCTATCCCCACTGTGACTCCCACCATGCAGGTTACCCACCATCTCTTGTCTTCATCAGGACAAGTCTAGAGGGAAAGTCATAATGGTCATTCCTGTGATTGTATTATGGGTTGAATTGTGTCTCCCCAAAATTTATTGAAGTCCTAACCCTACTATCTATGAAAGTGACCTTATTTGGAAATAGAAAGTTGGCAGAATTATGGTGAAGTCATTAGGTGGTCCTAATGAAAAAGAAAATGCCATGTGAAGACAAAGACACAGGAAAAACATTTAAGAGCAGAGCAGAGATTTGAAGAGTGATGTAGCTGCAAGTCAAGGAATACCAAAGAACACCAAGGACGGCCAGCCACCACCAGACGCCAGGAAGAGGCAAGGAGACATTCTGCCCAGAGTTTCGGAGGGAGCACAGCCCTGCTGACATCTTGATTTTAGACTTCTGGCCTCCAGAGCTGTGAGAGTGTAAATTTCTGTTGTTTAGAGCCACCTGGCCTATGGTGCTTCTTTATGAAAACCCTAGCAACCTAAAATAGTGAGATATGGACAATTTTAATTTTCTTTTCAGTCTTTTAGAAATTATTTGTACAGTATACATAAGACTTTTATGATCAGGAAAAACATACTTATTCTTTAAAAATAATTCTCATTCATCGAGAATCCTAAACACCCTGTAGGATTTTTCTCTGAGAATTGAACCTATCTGCACCTACATGGCTTACTGATCACCTCAACATGGCTCTATTATTCCACTGTCTTCATCAACACAACGTCACTATTCCAGGAAACACTTGCCTAGGAAGATACAAGTTGCAAATAAAATAAGTTTACTGTTTATTTCAGGAACTTTTCAAAATAAACCATTTAAACAAAGATTAAGTTGTTTGACTTTTTAAGAGCATCAAATGACTGTCTACTCTCCAAGACTCTTCAGAACCCTTGCCTTGCTGTATCCACTAATCCTAAACCAGTGATCCTTCCCAGTCTTAATTATTTTAGTAATCTTAATGAAAGAACCTAAAAATGCAGACATATCCTATCTCTGACTTTGCATTTCTGAGATTTTCTAGGACTTTGTCAAGGGGATGTACCCCTTCCATGTGAGCAGGCATCTCAGCTCTCTCTCATCGGCAGGTTGATTTGGTAGAGTTTTCAGGCCTTCTACACCTAATATATCTGAAACATTGAGTTTATCAAATGTTTTCTATGTGCAGAGACTGAGCTAAGCACTTAATATAGGGGTGTCGAACTCAATCAGAGAAGTGGGCAAAATCTAAAATCCAGCCTAAATCGTGGGCCGAATGGTTTACTGAACAGTAATAAACTGTCATTGTGATGGAAACGCAGCGGAGTGCAGAAATGACAGCGCGGTGCGGGCCACATTGCAAGGCCTAGCGGGACGGATTTGGCCCGCGGGCCTTGTGTTTGACACATGTGACTTAATATGTACCATTTCAGGGTATCTGCTATATGAACTATTAAAAGATAAACTGAGGCATATTAAACTTTTTGAGTTTATTTGATCAAAATCAATTCAAATCAGGCAGCAGATAGAAAGGAGCACCAAGTCCATTAAATGAGAGACTTTTATAGGCAGAAGGGAACCAGAACAAGGAAATTATACAGGTTAGTCGTTTCAAAGTCACTTTCTTTGAGGGGATGGCAGTGGTCCATTAGGAAGATTATTTAACTAGTGCTGATCTGGTGATTTCTGGTAGACTGGTTTAAGATTCCACTTCTGGGAGGACCAAAAGTGTAATTAAGTCTCATTTTGGTGATGTGGAGCTTAGCGTAAGTGACTCTATTTTGGAATTGTTGTCTTGGTTTTGACAAACCCTAAAAGGTTAGAAATGATCTCTGTTTTGTAGCTGGGAGACTCAGCCAACCTAAGTGGCGTGCCAAAGGTCCATCTGATGGCCTTGTAACAGTAGAGCCTGCACTCTCAGTACTCTGCCTCTACAAATTTAGTGAGATTGTAACACAACATGTTTCTATCCCATGCCTGACTATTTTTGGGAACTAGCAGTACTCTGCTTCTGATTATCCTGATACTTGCTTCAAGTGGACAGACTCCCATCCTAGAAGACCCCACTGGTGGATTTCCTGAGGGGAGTCGCTATAGAGACCATTCCCATCTCACACAGAGGCAGCCGCCGGCGGCCCCCAGGACTTCTGTTTCTCTGCTCAGGCCCGAGACTGTGAGCCACGGAAGGCAAATGGGCTTCGATGGAAAACAGGCAATTATTTCAGGCAGTCACATTTCCCACAAGGCACTGGTGCAAGTTAGCAGGGAAGAAAGAGCTGGACCCTTTGTACAGCCAGCAGGAACACAAACCTCATTGTTATGTTTATGCTTCCTTTATTCAGATGGCATGTGGTACAAACTCCATGCCAACCTGCAGACCGGATTTTTTCTTCCTCCTTAGTAGCAAATGTACATGTTTGCTTTCAAGTAGGCAGAATTTGCCCATGGGTGGTCTTTGATTTGGAGGAAATCAACCCCAGAGTGGTGACTCACACACAAAAAAAGTAGCTTAAGTCGTTTGGTGCCAGCAGGGGTATGTGTGTGCAGAATCCACTTACCCAGAAGAAGAAGTTGAAGACAAAGAGTAAATACTTCAGGTAGACGACCAGCCAGTCATCCTGCTCAGCCTTATAATGGGCCATGGTAGCTGGGCCTGCAAAGAAGACATGCATGCTGGGCTGGGGGTTCACAGGGAACCATCTTGTCCTTCCCAGAGCCAGAGGTCCTTGGCAAGGTGTCCCTCAGAGGAAGGACTAGCCTGTCTGGTCAGGGGAGTCTGAGGCTATGGGTGTTAAACCCGGAACATAGAGCAGGGAAATGCAAAGGCTACTGACACATGGAGGTGAGTTGGGCAGAATTGTCAAGATTTTGGTTTTGTCCTGTTGACACAGATGTAATCTACGAGTCTTCCTAAAGACTTTGTGCTGGCCTTGTTGTGTTCTTATTCTCTCTCCTGTCTCATCAGGTTTGCAGGACACAAGCTTACTTGTCACACACACACACACACACACACACACACACACACACAATACCTGCTTTGCATCAGAATCCTGCACTCTGCGTCATTTGAGTAGGACCTCTGCATGCATGGGTGAAGCATGAGCCCCAATTCACAGCATCTGTGCTGGAAAGGACTTTGACAGTTGTCTAGTCCATCCTGTCATTCCCTGCACCTTGACTTTCTAAATGAGGAAGAGGTGGCAGGCTTAGTGGTTTGGCAGGAAGAGTACAAGGGCTCTGGAGTCTGGCTCCCTGATATCACACCTGGGTCTGCCACAAAGTGTGTGAGACTTTGGATAAGTCCTGTCCCGTGGTGTCCTCATCTGTAAGTGGGGATAGTAATGATAACCATTGCGGGGTTGTTTTGAAGATTAAGTGGGTTAATCTCTGAGAGGAGTTTAGCACATCTGTTAGCTATTATTATTACACGTAGCAGGGATCAGAACCCCAGACTCCAGCACTAAAATTCCTAGTCTTTGTCCCAGAACCATGCTTCCTCTCTTTGCCCTGATGCCCACTGATGGACTCTCTGGAAGCTGTGACGTCAACTGGTGACAAAGGTGGAGGAGATTCATTGTGCCCGGGAATCCCGTTGGCTTCTCAGTAAGTCTGAACCACCGCCTGAGTGGCTTCCTCTTCTCCTCAGGCCCCTGTCCCCAGCTCCTGCACACCACGCTCACACTCACAGAGAAGTGCCCCTTAAGAAACCATCTCCCTTTAGAGAGCCCCTCTTATTCTAGAACCAACAGGCATGGGTTGGCCCATTTCCATCTCTTTTCCCTCATTCCCCACCTCCACTGGGCCCTCCTTGCCACATCCTGGCTCATTCTCCTTGGCTGGTGCTGGCTAAGCCCAGATCACTTCCTCCTGAGCCAGTGCTCTGCCTTTTATTTCAAGCTCCAGGGCTCCTGGGACAGAGAGAGAGGAAGGGAGAAATGAAAAGGTGGCTGTCTTATTTGGCCTTTCTATTTGCAGACCTTGAAGAGGTAATTTAAGACTTTTAGTCTTCTTGTTAAAAAAAGACAAAACCCATTTTTCTCTAATTTAGTCTGAGACGCAGGCTGGTGGAAAAAAAACACAAAAGGAGAAAAAAGAAGCCTATAAAAAAAGTTTTACAAAATGGTGATAGATGGGGTCAGCCAGGCGGCTGGAACGGGAGCTATTATAAGGTCCTTCTGCGGAGGTCTGACCCAGCTCTCTGGGCCGCTGGGGCCATTAGTAAAGTGACTGTTTGGGGCCCAGTCTCTCCCCTTTGCATTCTCCCCTCCATTTGCCTGCCTCTCCCCTCCCAACCAGGGCCCACTGGACTCATGCCATGGAGCATTCTCTAGACCTGCAAGCCACAGGGTCAGGACCCACTAAAGCAAATTGTATTTTTTAAAAAGGAGTTTAGACAAGATATACCACAAAGAAACACATTTCTAATGTAAAATCCCAGCCATTAGTGGTAGAGAAGATAGAACCACAGAGTGTCAAGGTGAGGGGAAACCGCCCGGCTCACTTTACTTCAGCTTCTGCAGAAGGAATGAAAAGTAAACACGGCTGAGTTAAGACCTACGTTCTCAAATGACCTCTCTGAAGCCACAGGCTAATGGTTGGTAGCAGTTTCCTATCCCCGTTGTTCAGCGCTCTTCCCCCACTGTGCCCCACGGCATGCGGGGCCCTGTGCTGGGTGGCAGAGGCCCCACAGAAGTGTCAGTGCCAGCGTGGAGCCTGATGCTTCGGTCTGAAAGCTGGCCTTGTCCTTTCCCCATGGTGTGTCCTGGACTAAAGTACTTCATGTCCCAGTGGCCGCACTCTTAGCTTTTCTTGTCCTCTCTGCTCTTTTGCTGGTGCCCTTTTTCTTGGCGGGGTGTGGGTAACAGAACAACCATGGGCTCTTGGGTCTTTTTTTTTTTTTTTTTTTTTCTCATTTATAAACACACCATTGAATTCCAGAAAACCAAAAATCACACCTTTCCCCGGACACTTGTAAGGGGCATGCCTGTTACTCCACACCTCTTCTGTTTCTCTTTCTCTCCTTAATGCTTTTAAAAACAAATGAGTGTTTTTTATATAAATAATATTTTTAAGGTGTGAAAAAAAATTATCTGGAGGACTTATTAAAACAGATCACTCAGCCAAAACCAGTTTGGCTCAGAAGATCGAGCGTCGGCCTGCGGACTGAAAGGTCCCGGGTTTGATTCCGGCCAAGGGCATGTACCTTGGTTGCGGGCACATCCCCAGTAGGGGGTGTGTAGGAGGCAGCTGACTGATGTTTCTAACTCTCTATCCCTCTCTCTTCCTCTCTGTAAAAAATCAATAAAATATAACAAACAACAAACAAACAAAACAGATTACTCAGCCTGGCCTCAGGGTTTCAGATTCTAGGCTTAGGGTGGGAGCCTGGGACTTCATTCCTAGGCAGGGTCTGATTTGCCCAAGATGGAGGGATGTCTCTGAGTAAGAAACCTTCAACGTGAAGCCTGCATAATCTTGGGCACACTGGGTGGTTGGTCAGCCTACTCCCAAAGGCTGCTGATGTGCGGGCCTGGGGACCACACTCTGAACCAGTGTTCTTCAAAGCCCCTTCTGCTTCTCCTAGTCCAGGACCCCACATATAATTATCCGCTGCATCTTAGCAGACATAACTGACTGGGGTAGGGTGGAACATCACATTTAGGACAGTTCCTGATGAAATGCCAAAGATCTCCCACACAGCCTGGTAAGGCAGCCTCAGGACGCCGGCCCCTCAGGCCAAGGCTCTGACTGCTGAACAAAGCTGGAATTCAGGAAAGCCAGCAGGGTGGGGGCTGGAACGGCAATCGGGAGCCACACCATAGGCTATCTCAGAAAAGCAACTAGAGATGCCTTCATGGTGAAGTGATGGAATTGGGGGACTTTCACAGGGCCAGACATGTAGAGTCATGGGCTATGGGACTTGGGCATTAGTGTCTCTTTTACTGCCCCAACCCAAGAGAACTGAATGAGTCTCACAGTGCAGAGAGGAGGAGGGACATGCAGAAAGAGCCCAGTTGGCTGGCCAGATGTGTTGTGTGAGCAGAGACCAGGCCGAGTCCTTTCATGGTGATGGGTGGCCCAAGTTGGGGGGGGGGGGGGGGGTGTGAGGGTGGGGCAGCCAGGAAGTGCTTGGGAACTGACTGTACATTACACATGAATACAAAGCACTGTTGGCATGTGGGCCAGTCTCATCCTTTACTCATTCAACAAGCATGCTTTGAGGCCCCAGTTTGTGCCAGGAGCTGTGCTTAGAAGACTGGAATTCATCCTTTAGGAGCTCATAGCAATGTGGTAACACAGAGAAAGTGGCATTAATTCTGCCGGGTTGGGATGGGGTGGAGGGGCAGAGAGGGGCATTTAATCTGATCCTTGAGAACAGGCAGAAAAGGAGGGAGGGATGCTCAGGCAGAGGGAACAGCGTGATAAAAGGCTGGAAGTATGGCTGGGCCCAGTGGCCTGGGTTGTAGAAAGACTGAAAAATCAGGTTGGGGGTCCAGGGCAATCTTGTTGGCCATGTGTAGTTCAGGTTGAGGGTGCCCTGACCCTCCATTCCCTAAGCAGAGACCATCCCTTACCAGGGGTGGGGCAGGGTAGGCTCCTGGGGAGCTTAGTGATTCTAAAACAAAAGCAAAACCATGCCCCACCCCAGCCCCACTGCTTCAGTTAAAAAGGTGCCAGTTTCCACCTCTGGAAACCATCATTCAGTAAGAGGCCCTGCTGAATGTTGGTCAAAAACAGCTGGAAAGAAAACAAGCCTAAGTGGTTTAATGTGTAACTTAATTTTCACTTTTAATGAAATCTGAGTGCATTCCTGCAAGGTGTGGTTCCTTCCCCATGCAGACAGTCTCTTCCTTCTTTGTCCTGATTTCCCTCTTATTTAATTTCCATTCTTCTGGCCCATTCCTGGTGGGGGATAATCCTTCTGAAACAGTCACAGAAGTAGAGTTTCCTCAGATTCTCTAAATGGGATAGTTGGAAGGAGCTAAAGGATCTCTAGCTCGGCCCCTTGGAGAACTGAGAGAACTGAGTCCAGTGGCAGAGCCCATGGGGGAGTCATACTGCCCATTAGGGCAAGGCAGGGACTTAGTTTCCTGTCACTCTAACCACCAACAAAATTTTGATTGGCAATGTATTAATAATAATAATCTATACTAATAAAAGAGAAACATGCAAATTGATCATATCTCCACTACGACCACAAGGTAATATGCAAATTGACCCTCACATCATCACACAAGATGGTCGCTCCATGTTGTCAAAGATGGCTGCCACAAGATGGCTGCCAGGTGAGGGTAGTTGTGGGCTATCAGGCCAGGAGGGGAGGGCATTTGGGGGGGACCAGGCCTGCAGGGGAGGGCAGTTGGGGGCAACCAGGCTGGCAGGGGAGGGTAGTTGGGGGGAGGCCTGCAGGGGAGGGGAATTGGGGGGGAACAGGCCAGCAGGGGAGGGCAGTTAGGCATCAATCATCCTGGCAGGGGAGTGATTAGGGGGTGATCAGGCTGGCAGGCAGGTGAGTGGTTGGGAGCCAACAGTCCTGAATTGTGAGAGGGATGTCCTGTAGTCAGACATCCCCTGAGGGGTCCCAGATTGGACAGGGTGCAGGCTGGGCTGGGGACACCTCCATTCCCCAGTGTACGAATTTTGTGTACCGGGCCTCTAGAATTTTCTATAAAATTATAGAGATATAAATTTGAGATTACATATTGAAAAGCAACTAAGAGTTGAAGGGGATTTTTTTCCAAGGTCATTCTGGAAACAGTGCAAGTGACACCAGAAAAGAGCTCCCTGGGTTTCTACTCACCATGTTTAAGTCTGAACTTATGAAAATATATTTGAACCATTGTTTTTTCTAGTCTACTTTTTCTTTTTCATTCATCATCATCTTACTTTCTAGGCTCTATTTCACCTGAAGTATCCCCCAAAATGTAATTTTTTGATAGGTTGGCTCAAGGTCTATTTGAAAGGCTTCTAAACTCTTATGGATTGACTACCTGGAATCTTCCAGTTTTTAATGGCATTTTGCTTGAAAGTGTAACAAAAATCACTTAGTTAGATAAATCTTTCTTGAAAGGTAGACGTAACTGAATGTTATCACTCATTTGTATTTTAGTGTGATTTAAATCAGATAATTTCGTGATTTTCCAAACTTTCAAAATTTAATACACACACAAATAATGTATAGAAATCTTAAGTATACAGCTTGATGATCTCTTTCAAAGTGAATATATGTACTTTAAGGCTATATATTTCCCTTTGAGTACTGCTTTGGCTGCTTTCTAAAGACTTTGTTTTGTTGTATTTTCACTATTCACTATTCATTTCAGAGAATTTTCTAATTCTTATTGGCAATTTATTTTTTACCTAAGATTATATGTGAATTGCTTAATTTTAAAGCATTTTGGAAATGTTTCAGTTGTTTTTTTCTTGCTGATTTCTGGTTTAATTCTACTATTGCTGAAGAATATGCTCTATATGATTTCAGCCATTTGAAATTTGTTGAGACTTGCTTTATGCCTCAGAAAATAGTTTCTTCTAATGACTATGTCATGTGAATTGAAAAGAATGTTTTCATTAATCATGTTATTAAAACATGGAGACAGTTTATAGAGTTTGCTGAGGCCACACTATTAGTAAGTCAGGCAGGATTCGGAGTCAGGCAGTCTGGTTTCAAAGTGGATTCTCCGCAGGGAACCATATGTTCCAGTTTGGCCACAATCCCAGTTTCTCCAGGACAGTCCCAATTTAAACCTACTGTCTTGGCATGATTATTGTGATGACCCTTTTCACTTAAAAAGTATCCTGGTTTGGATGTCCCATCCTGGCTCTTTGCCACTATGTTAGACTGCTTGTCATGATATTCAGTAATCCTCAGCCTCTGAATCTTTCTGCCCCACCTCCCCTCTATTCGCTGTAGGTTTCTGCAACCCACTTCCTGCTCTTACACAGAGGGTCACTAACGGCCCCATTAATTAAGCCTAAAGCATTTGCCTTACTATATTACTTGCTAAAACATGAGCTCAGTTCTGAAAAGTGGACATCCACCACAGCTTCGGGTGCATGGGTGTCAGATGTTGAGTGAATGAATGAACTGATGATCACATGCACTAACGAGCCATGTGAAAGCACCTGCCTCTTTAAGAGTTGTCCCTGGGACACCTAAGTTAAAGGTGATCAAAAGGAGACAGCCCGAATTTGGGGAAGGTGGAGCATGGTTCTGAGTGGGCGGTTTGGCTGGGGCACCAGCAATGCCACCAGCAGGGCCTCCAGGAAGCCTTACACCGACAGCCCAGGAAGATCCTCTGATCATTTTCTCCCAGAGCTTTCTCTGCCTCGTCCACCCATTTTCTTTGTCTTTCAATTTCAGCCTCAGGTGAGAAACATGGACCTGTCTCTGGTACACCAAACTAGAAAACCCTTGTGGAAATAAACGGGAACAGGACAGTCAGGTGCTTCCTAGAGTCAGACTTCTGAAGAAACCACCTGGGGGCAGCTTCGACAGGCATTGACAATGAACATGCATCTGCCCCTTCTCCAAGCCCCACATCCTCTTTGCCCAACTTTGCTCCAGCCCTTCAAGATAGCTCCCAGCAGAGGCCGGGAAAGCCAGGAGCCACCCCAGCAGATCTCAGTGCTGAGACACACAGTGGCCTCCTTCCCTTCCTCCTGCAGATGCTCAGCATGACGGGCTGCAGAGCTGTGAGAGGCGGAGTTGTGTGCGGCTGGATCTGGAAATAGATAATTGAATAAACAAACGCCGGATCGAAGGGAGGCAGGTCATTCTGCCTCTGTTCCAGAAACATTTGATTTCCTAGTCATGGAGACAAGCTGTGTTAGGGTCCTGAGAATCCATCTCTGGCCCCAGAGCCTCTCTCAGACTCTGGCCGGCAGTTGGACACTCCATCACTGTGCAATGCCAGCCAGTGAACAGAGGTGAGGCCCGATAA